TTTTTTGTTTTCTCCACCCCGTCGAGGCGAATCTGCTGAAGAAGCTCACCTCGATGATACTCTTGCAGCTGGAGGAGTTTGGTAAGTGCGTTTCTATTACCGTAAAATGAGCCCGCTAGGATTGAGTTGACCAACACAGGGGAACACATACACATAAATGAGCATACACAAATGTATGCATACAGCTAAACATATTTATGCACGTAACAAACGAGAGGTGAAGTCGTAGAGGAACTTCTATCAGACGGTATGCAAAGGACGTGCAGCCGACGTACTCGGGGGAGGAAACCCTGCTTCGTCCCGGAAGTTGTGAAGCCCCAGATTATCACTTTGGAGGGGTCTCTCTTACAGCAAGGAAGAGAACTTCCCACATGTCACTCCCATGTTAGGCAGTCTTTCTCATTTTATAAAAAAGAAACAGTTCATGAAACTGTCTCGACGCGACGGTAGCGGGGCATATGCTTGTGTTGTGCTTCACTAGGGCAGCTCCCGTCAGCGGAACGAGTCCCTTTGCAGCCTCTAATTTACACCCACTGCTGTGTTACTATGGGGGCAGATAGGTATACAAATTGGGAGAGATAGCCGCTTATACGATTCACCGAACGGATTGACTAGCCGTGACATGTTCCTCTTAAACGGGGCACATTTAGTTATGTTGTCTCGTTGCACAGACGAGTAGGGAGGAATACCCCTTTTTGTAAAGACTAGGCCCACGTTAACAATGGCAAAGCCACAAGGGGTAACTCCCCTTTTTTGCTACGTTCTCATATGAATATTCGATTTTAACGCGTCGAATTTAGTACACACATGGATGGATTCTTTATTTTTCTTACTACACTCGTTGAGTGCATAGGGACGTACCACCTGATGAGGGTCCTCCCCCCCTGAGGAGAACTTAAACGGGGGTTATCACAACCGATTCAGCTTAGCACCGTGATAAGGGTCCCCATACGAATGTATCTATGTACGGGGGAACTATGCATAGAAGAGCTATGGACGGTGGACCTATGCACTTTCCCACTCGGTGTCACCCCTTGGGGGAACAATTTCATTTTGTCTGTACATTGCGGAATAGGGTACGACAGCCCACCGAGTGTCCCTTTTTTTTCGGCCATATGCACAGCTTAACTTTGCATACGTGGGTTCTACATTGTTAAGGGGATAACCGAACAAACAATATGTGCCTCGCTGGGACTTTTCAACTGGGCTATACGTTTTCACGTCAGGAAAAACTATCCCCATGGTGGGGTGTGATTAAAAAGAGGGATGCAACTGTAGGGGCCACCTGGGAATGTTTTTCCCCATCGAGGTGATTACCCCGTTCAATGTGTTTATCCACCCGTGAGGTGTTCTTTTTCAATATGTCATGTGCAGTTCCTTCCTTCCCTAATCATCTCCGTTCCAGTGTGTGGATGACAAATGTAGCATCAACCCGTGCGAATTTTTTATTCCCATGTCCGCACTGCCTACATAATGTTGATGCTACACAGGGAAGGAGTCCCCGGGCTAGTCATTCCGATAATGACCATATGGCTTACTAGGAAGTATTATTTTACTTTGCATTTTTTTTTTTTCTACAAGTGGATAATTTTCTTTGTACATCCCCTACGCATGCTTCAGAGGACAGTTGGCTAGTCACTGGTACATGTTGATACTAAAATGGTAAAAGGTCTTCCGTTCCTTTCGCTAGGTATATTTTCTTTCCACATTTTTCACACGCAATGGTATATACGTTGGTAAGTGACTTTTTTTTTTTTCTTCCAAACAGGAAGCTGAGAAGTGGCTACCTTTTTTTGTGTTTGGAAAATTAACTCGTGGGATATTTTTTTTTTTTTTAGAGTTACTTTTTGGAAGGAAATATATGGATATGAAAAGGAAGCAAAAAAAACAGTTGAAGACTTGAAACCATTACTGTTTGGCCAATTGGGGAAAAAAAAAATAGAGAAGAAGAATTGCGGGATGGAAAAAAATATAATACGTCATTACCACATGGCAGCAAAATTCGTGACGTGAAAGGTTGGCCTTTCTACTCCTGCTTGAGAATTATGAGTGGGGGAAGATAGGCTCCTGCATACGCAGCGTATGTACATTTCTTATCTGTTTTTACTCCTTTCTGGCTATCATTTCTCCCTGGCACTTCGTAAGGTGGAGGTATTCTTCCGAAGTGCCTTACGAAATATTACACCATACTGGAGCAGAATGCGCGTCATCAAATTGCCGCACGCATTTTAGCGCTGCTGGCCGAAATGAAGCAGACTGTTAGTTCCCCTTCTTTTTTTGAAAGCAGCGTAGCTCAGAGGAAGAGTGGGGGGCTCATAACCCCCAGGACCGTGGATCGAAACCACGCGCTGCTATAATTTCACCATGAAACATGACATAATGTATCTGCATACAAATGATATATTATATATATTATGCATCCCCTACACAACAAGGTAAAATAAAAGAGAAAAAAAACTAAATATAACTTATAATTTTTATTATAATAAAGAAGAAAGAAATTGGGTAAACAAAAATAGAAAGAATAATATATGACAATTTTTTTTCGCCTCTTGTCACACTTTTTATATAAGATAAATCATATGTAGCATTACTCTTCTTCCCTTCTGCCCTTTTGGTTACCTTCTTTGCACGCCATTGTTACGCAGTGCATAAGGGTAAAACATATGCCACACGTTTTGCAATTCGCGTATCAGAAAGAAAAAAAAAAAAAAAAAAAGAAAACACTTTTGTATTTACTTCCCCATTAGTGGGGAAAACATTAACACAGCAGAGATTAACGAAGAAAAGTTGGAAATAACCATTTTGTGCAGCCTGTCCCAGTGACGAAACATACATACAAACAGGCGAGCATAATGGTGAATAAGGGGCTTCATCAGGGAAATTTTTTCATACTTTTTATCAATTTTGCCTTTTTTGTTTTTTCTTATTTTTATTTTACGAAGGCCCATTTTGCTATTCTTAAAAAAAAGTAAAGGTGTATGAACAATTACTTTAAAGTTAACGAGGTATTTGCATGCAAATGCGTACCAGAATATTGTATCCACGTTTAGCTCACCCTGGGGGCGAAAAACACAGTTCCGCTTTTAACGGATATTATATTAGTGAACGAAATGTGCAAAAGGGTTTTTTTTTCCCATTCGATAAACCGAATGGAGAACGCACAGGTTCCCATTTGAAAGCGCTTCTTGAAGACAAGTTGGTGGATCTCTCGTTCCGTGCGAGCATGCCCACCGGAGAAAGTACGCCCTGCTCATGAGTGTATAAGAGTGTATATGCGCATACTGTTCAGGGACGTGATGAGGTCAACCATTTAAAGAGCAAGCTCCTATCACAGTTCGCACCAATGTCACACTATGAGAATCTTATTTTTAATCTCCCGTGCAAACGTCCGTACATGCTTTGTGAAGAATTTCCCTTTCGGGGCTGTCCCGAAGTCATAGCAGATCGATTTTCGACACAGCGGGGGCGGTGAGCAGTTTTGGCAAAAGGGGCACCATTTGTTAGCAAGCTGTTGGAATAAATTCTTTCTTTCATCTTCACACAATTTTTACATCACTTTCCCCGTTTGGAAAAAAAAAAAAAACGGACGTGAAAATTTGATATACACGTGTAGTCTGTCGGGATGCGTGTGCACACGGAGAATACGCTCAACTTCCGTGGATGTATTTGTCAGAGTATTCCTATCAATGGGACACAAAAGTGAATTCGGTTTTGTCACCCCTGGTTAATCATCTCCTGTAGTAGGGACATATAAGCGCAATAGGCCATAAGAGAATTCCTCGTATTTACTGCTCGCTTGTATTGGCAGAACATTTCTCGCCGTGGACTGCCACCCTAATCGAAACAGATGTCAGAACGAGAGAGCAGTCTTTCACCGCATAACTGGTGTGACAAAAAATTGGAATGTGCGACGAGAGCCACACCCGTTTGGGTTGTCATAAAGAAAAAATATTTCCTTCGAATTCGTTAACATTTTAAATCCATATTATCCTTCCAATGTGTATACGCTGACATATGGCCTTCACCCGTGTCAACTATTAAAAAAAGAGAGAAAAGAAGGCACCAATCCAATTTGCCACGCATACTCCTTGGGTACCTAGTTATGCGGCAATCTTTGCGAAGGCAACACAAAACGGGCGGAAAAAAAAAAAAGGCTTTACAATTATTCTCAACAAAGATAACCATTGCGTGTACATTTACCTCTTCGCTGTTTAATCGTGCCGTTTTTTTTTTTTTCTTTGCGCTGAAGTTGGGAAAGAGGTAAAAAAAATTTAATCCTGGAGAATAAGCCGTCCCCGTTACCCTTCTTATTATGAACACAAAAGCGGTATAAAAATTTGGAAACTTCAGGGAATAAGTTCCCTTTCCAGTTCTGTGAGGAACTCTGCTATAGCAAGGAAGTAAGAGACTACTTTAAAGGCACATTTATATTTTTAAAACAATGAACCATTAAAAAGTATAAAGAATTATATTTATATATGTAATAATAAGTTGCAATGACAAATTTCA